GCAAGTCGCCAGCGACAATGGGGAACCCTCCTCATGGATTCCTCATGCTTCGTAAAAGGAAGGATGCGTTTACCTTACCCCCCTCAAAAAAACCTAGTTTTTCCTACGTCCTGATTTTTCATGTGAGCGTGTATTTATCCTGTTGCGTGTATGGGACAGAGAGAAGGGGAGACTGTGTGTAATGAAGCACCAAGCAGAACACAATGCCTTTGGGGACAACATTTTGTTTTGTATTCCTTGTCTAGGAAAGGTTGCCCACGCCCTCAGAGCTTATGGCCCGGTTGGACAGGGAAGGCACACAGACCTCAGTGAACTGATGTGTCAAGATTCTAGAACAGGATGCAAAGCAGCAGGTCATTTCGGATCCAGAATCGGCAGGATTACCTGTGACCTGGAGCTCAGGCTGTAGCATGAGTTTTAGGCAGAGCCAGCAGGAAGAGGAGGTCTAAGAGACGAATATCAGAGAGAGAGAAATCCAGCGCCACTTGTCCCAGCAAAGATTGGAAGGGGCCAATGTCTTTTGTTAACCACACTGTGTGTCCTATAAGTAATTAGAAGTTGTCTAAGCTTGGGCAGTGCCCTTGGAGCATGCTCTACATCCGAGATCCTGGAATGGCACTGGGTGGCCATCCCCAATCCCCAGGTACTGATTCGATTAGGCTACTGGGAACGGTCCTAACCCTTCTCTGCCCACTTTTCCCAGATGCTGGAAGAAAAAAGGAGATTGGAAAGTTGTCTCCTGTACTTCCCCCCATTCCTTGATCCCCCCGCATGGACCGCTGGTCCAGATGGCTACGGAGTCTTCTTTACCCTATAAATATCAAAAACAAAATACGTTTCTTCTTATTATTATGTTTAAGTTGTTTAGGATTTTGGAATTTGGGCATCTTGAAAAATACTGTTATAAACATGAAGTTAATAGTTTAAATTTTTTCTTCAATCACAGAACATCACAGCTGTTTCTTGGTATCCCGAAATTCACTCTAGGTCCCCACCGTGGACAACAAAGTTGCAGATGCTCAAGGCTGTAATGTGAAAAGGCAAAACTGCACATCACCTTACACGCATATCCTCCGGCTTGCTTTGAAGCATCTCTAAATGACTGACAGTGTCTAATACAAAGCCATCGCTGTGAAAATGGTTCAGGGGGCAAGAAGAAAAAAAATCGTACATGTCAAATACAGTCGTAGACTTTGGCCAGATATTTTTCATTCAGGCTCAGAGCCAGTGGGTAGAGACGACTGATGGCATAAGCAAAAGTTTGGCTTCCAAGCCGGTATATAAATACTGAACCTTCTGACACAATGATCATGATGAATAGACACATCGTTGTAAGTGTAAGACAGCACTCGCTTGCACACGCGAAGGGAAGCAGTGCACCAACCCGGATGGCCGGCCATCTTCCTCGGGTTGGCCAGGAGTGTCTCGTCCTCCACCGGCTGGATGGCGCCAACGGGTTCTGGCAGATTTCACTGGAGGAAGAAAATGCCAAGTTGACAATCTTTATCTACCCTTTGGGATATGCTGTTTCCTAACTCACTATTTGAGATGATCCCCAGCCTTGAAATCTTTCAAAGGGAGCCAGCACAGCACGCCCGATCTGGGCACAGCAAGCATAGGGCTCCATGTGGCATTGCACGGAACGTGGGTGTAACCCCTGTGTTCGCCTGTCACATACAGCAGGGAAGATAGCACTGGGACAAAGACGGCATCTGTGAATTATTTCATCAAGAGATGCTGCAGTAAGCTCAGTTTATAAGAGGGTTGAACACCACAGGAGGCGCAACATGACCCGTGTGGGCTAAAACCTCAGCTGCCCAGGAGCACTCCACAGCGTCTAGTTCTGAAACGTGCAGGAGGCTGTGTCTCAAGACAGCAGCTTCATAGGCATGTGACCCCGATGCAGGACTGCAATGTTTCTGCGTCCACGTCAACTCGCCTTCTAACTCCTGCGCCCACACATTGTGGGAGCTGGCCTGTTCGCATCAACAGTAACAGTGAGGCCAGCAGGCAGCGGTCACAGAGTGGCCACTCTGCACCCTTCAGGTGCCCCTGTCTGCAGCATGCCACGGCACGTGGATTTTGCTACTTCATTTAACTCAGACGAGGCTACCAGGTGTCTGAGCATCTCCAGGATGACTCAGAGAGCCAGTAGAGCTCCTGTGTGATGCAGGTCACCAGTCCTGAGGAGTATTTAATGTAGGTGCTTTTATCCTCAAAGCATTCTCTAACTTTTTTTTTTTTTTTTTTGGTAAGATATTGAGGATAAAGCTTACAGTGCAAGGCAGGTTCTTAAAGCGCTGGGATCAGTAGCTGCACGGGCTGACAAGCCCTTACAAACAAGTCTGTCCAGAGCCCAGCTCCTGCTCCTCAGACTGCAAAACAATTAGGGTAAAACAGTGGTTGCAAAAACAATACCACTGGCTGTACTATGTGTAATAGAGTCCATTCCAGGATAAAAATACAGCTCCAGAAAGGTGGCTCTGATCTGTCCGTGCTGGGTTTAAGAGCCAATGGTGTGTTTTTAGGCCTCTGACTTGTAAAAGAACTGTGGGTTTCCACTCAGCATACCTGAGCGTCACCTGAGAGCTTTAAAAGTGGGACAGGTGTGGGAGCCCCAACCCAGACCAATCAAACCCACAAGTCTGCAGTGTGCAGAAGCAGTCTTTGCACAAAGCTCTCCAGGTGCCTGCAACCTGTCAGCAGGACCACAAGCCCTGCATTTGATGCTGAAATGGTCCTTGAGTGTGTCTCCGTTGGAAGTCTCAAAGCTTTGGTCTAGGCGCTGAAGCCTCCACTGAGAAGTAAACAGCCCAACTGATGCTTGCCCTGGCTGTGAAAGCCAACATCTACTTCTGCTAAGCCACTGGAACTTTCCTACCTTATTGCTCAGGGATCCCAACCAGGATTCTGAAGAAGTCTAGACCATGGTTTCTGTGGGCAGCATGTTTAGAATACAATGGGAAAATCAGAGGAAACAGGTGGGAACATATTATTATGTAAGAATTCAGAGTGCCTGACCCCTTTGGAGCTTCACAAGTGTGTGTGCAAGTGTAGGCATCAAAATTAGTGGCGTATTTATTCCAGGTTTCTTTTAGAGACAAAACTTTCCGCAGAGCAGGCGTTGGCTAGCTAATGATTTAAGTTCTATGCACGCTTCCTGCCACGCTGCGGACCCAGGAATGAACCGAGGGTTAGATGTTCTAGAAGCTCTCCAAGGGTAGTGACCATCCCTGACCATCCACCACCTGCCAACCCCCCACCCCCAAGCAGGATACCAGGCAAACCAGAGATGGAGGCACACCCAAGTCTCCCAGCCACACAAGATTTTTCTACATCCTGTCTGACAAATACAAGCAAGAGCGAGGTTCTTGGACAGTAAGGCCCATATTCTCAATGTCAACCTTTCTCTCTAGAACAGGACCAGCAAGAAACAAACTCGAGATGAAAACAGGTGTTCCCCAAGATGTGCAAACAGATGCACATCCCAATCTCTCCCTCCCCTGCATCATTCTATGATGAGCTGTAATCCCCCCCAGCCCAGTCGTTCTGAGCAAACTTCTCCTGCAATCGGGGATGGCCGGAGTCAGTGGTCCAGATGAATTCCGGTTCTCAGGTCCTCCTCAGGGCTGCTTTGGACCAGGCAAAAGTCCATAAAGTTATTCAAGCCCTTAGGTACTCCCTCCGTTATCTGGGCCTCTGCATTTTTTTTTCCCCTGGGCGCTTAAACGATTTCCTGAGTCTGGGGACCAGAGGGGAGGGACGCCGGCGCTCGGGGCCACAGGGCTTGCTGGGGACGCCAGGAAGAAACCACTACAACAGGGGCTCACCCACAGCCTTGGGTCAGTATGAGCGGGCGGCGCCAGAGCTGGCATGAACGAGAGAACGCGCCCAACCCACCTGGCTGGCTGGTTGGCAGGCTGGCAGGGCCAGACCCTGCCTGGCTGTGCTGGGCGCCCATGGGGGCTCGCCCTCGGTCCTAGGCAATGCTCGGGCTTCCCGAGCAGCGCAGGGGCGGGATCCGAGTGCGCCTCCTCGGTGCGGCGGTCCGATTGGCCGCAGGACACGCCCGTCGGCGAGGGAGGGCTTTGAAAGTTTCATTGAAGGTGGAGAAGTGCGCGCCCGCCGGGGAGCCCCGGCTGCGCCGCTAGGGCGAGGCTGCGGCGCGGCGGGAGTGGGGGGCGCAGGGATCCGCCGACGGCGCTGGGTTTTCTGTACTTTTTGTTGGGGGGCGGGTGCAGTTGGCAGTAAAAGACAAAGTTGGAGTCCAAGCCATTCTTTAGGTGCTTTCGTCTCGATTCCTTGCCCACTCTCGCCAGGATCCTATGAGGAGACCGAGCATAACGCGAGCCCCACCGTGCTGAGGTGAGTTCTGCGCGCCTGGCCGCCGGTACGCGGGTGTCTGCGACCCGAAGCTTGGGGGCGCAAGGGTTGAACTGCACCGCGGCTCCAGGAGCCACCGCAAGCTGCTCCGGGTCCGAGGCGAAGACACAGGAAGAGTTGTGGGAGTCCAGGCCGAGGGCTGTGAGTGGCAGCCTGCGTGGGCAGAGGGGCCGAGGCCGGGCGACCGTCAGACACTTTGGCCTCGGAGAAGGTTCCGCATCGAGGACTCCCCGGGTTCCACTGAACGACACCCCCGGAGCCGGGTGAGATTGCAGCGCACCATCCGCACCCCGCGCGCCCGGCGGCGCCCAGGACCCTCTTAGAGCCTCTCCTTGCACTGCCCCAGCCCCGGCCGAATTCGGGATTCTGCACAAACACCGTCTGCCCGCACAGGGTTGGGAGCCTGCCTAGGTGGCTGCCGAGAGCCCTGTGAGGGGCTGCCTGGAGACTCAAGCGTGCGCCCTCGGGGCGGAGAGTGCGGCGGAACGCACCCAGACCATGCCCGGGAGGCTGATAACCACTGGCCACAGGAGACCTTAGGCGGGCATGGACTTGACCTTTCGGCCCTAGGGAGCCTCGAGCCTCACGCCTCTGCTCGGACTCGCCGGACCAACGGGATGGCCTCGGAGGTGGTGTGCGGGCTCGTCTTCAGGCTGCTGCTGCCAATCTGCCTGGCAGTAGGTGAGTCTCACTCGCTCACCCACCCAGGTCACTTGGGGAGGCCAGGGGGTCGCTTAGGTGGGGCTTCTACCCAAGTTAAGGCCTTTACACTCTGAGATTAATTTCTGGAAACCGATACTATGGTTCTGGTGCCAGAGACATCTGACATGCATGGCCCCGGGGCCACAACGTGGTGTTCTCACTTCCTGCCCTGGGTCACATTATTGGGGTCTCTCAGCCGTCCCGCTATGGAGCCTGGTGACTGGAATGGGCTCTTGTGTAGGAGAGGGCTGGGTTGCATATATATCGTCACACGTGGGTCTTTGTCTTTTTCTTTTTCTGTGAAGTACTGTCTTGTGCACCAAGGTGCGCACGGGATCAAAGTGGAGCCTCCTTCCCCAGGCTCTAGGGTCTCCTGGTGCAGCGTGCATCCAAAAGCACCTGGCTCAATCCCACATCCCAGCCACTGAGAAGGAACAAGCCAAGGGCCCCAGCCATTCTTGCCAGAGGGATGGCCACAAGGTACGGGGATGCAGTTCCTCCCTTTTTTAACCTTTTACTTCTCCAAAAGCCAAGACTGCACAGAACTCAATGCTCAGGCTGCAGACCTGGCCCTGCCCTCCCCACGCTGATCCTTCCGGATTTTAAAGGGTTAGAAAGCAGGGCTCCAACTCCCTGGGACTTGCCAGGGTCAAGGGAGGGTCACAGAGGAACCCCGTAGACGCCCAGACAAGCATCCCGCTGTTTCTACCCTACAGGCTGACGACTTCAAAAGCCCTGAGGGTCAGCTTTTCAGATAGCAGGCACAGCCTTCCTGGAGTGGGAGGACTGCCAAGTTCCCCCGTAAATACACAGTGCAAGGCTCCTTGAATCCCGCTCCATAAACCACACTGCTCGGCGTCTGCCTTCGCCTCTGCCGCACCAGGCCTAGCAAATGGAGCATTTCTGCCAAGACGTGATATTGTCTTCCCAGCCTGTGAGACCTTCTCGGACTCCCATCCGGAGTTTTGCCAGAGGTTGAAGACACTGGGACACACCTGTGCCCGTGTTCTATCTGCAGATAAGGAAAGAGGCGAGCTCCTGGCGGTGGATACCCAACTTGGGGAGGCTGTGGATGTGTAGCACCTTGAGCCCATGGACAGAACGTCTCTCTGGGCGGGGCGGGGGGGGGGCAACTGGAGTTGTGTGACCTGGGTGTCCCTGAGCAGCAGCAGGAGGGGCCGCGCCTGCTCGCTGACCTTGACCACCTGTGAGTTTCCAGGCAGGAACGTTTTTTTGCAGGAGAGCACAGCAAGCTGGTGGGTGTGGACATGGGGAAGGGCTCTTCAGGGGCGCTGCGCACAGGTGGTGTCGCTGCCAGTGGTTGGGTCTTTGTCCGCAGCAGCTCAGCATCTGTATACAGGAATGAAGGCAGCCCGGCTTAAGGCAGGGCTTTGCAGTGTACTGGCTGCTCTGTGGTCATCCATGCCAAGGAAGGAGGAGGCCTGTCTGCAGATCCGCTCTCACATGGGAACCTCCCTCCTCCCCGCCAGGTCCCTTTAACCCTTTCTTCCCTTCCCCTTTCTCCCTCTGGTCCTGCTTTCCCACTTCCTGCCCACCCCACCCCCCTCATTTATGCACTGACCAAAGCTGGAGAGTGGGTGCTGGGACTTTTATGCTCAGCTCAGTGAGATGAGAGCAGGGACTGGCTCACTGCAGACCCCCATCACACCCCAAGCTTGGGCCCCTGCAAGGACACCACTCCCCTGTCCTGGGAGTCATCCCTTGGCTGCTGGGGCCAATCTCCTCTGTTCCTTCCCCAAGCCCTGTGGGCTGACTCAGGCAGAGTCCCTGTGACATTTCTGAAGTTTCTAGGCAGTTCAGCATGGAGTAGACACCCTGGTCTGTAATCTGGGCTTCTGACTTGGCTGGACCAACCTCTTCTGCCCTTCACCATGACCCTCGTCTAAGGCTCACCGCCTGCAGCAGAGGGTGGGCTGCAGATAAAAGATGCAGTGTCTAAGTGGGAGAAGCTGGAATAGTGCCTCCTGTCTGCGATGCCCCACACTGCTGCTTCCCAGCCATGCGCGAGATCCAGGGCGTTTGGGAGGTTTTCTTCCCGGATCCACTCCATCTGGACTTGTACAGTTCTCTGGGCTCAGGGAGGCTGGCCATACTGTGTGTGTGTGTGTGTGTCCCCAGTGTGTTATGCGTGTATATGAAATATGACTACGAGTATAAGCAAGTGGTATTGTGTGTATATATGCGTATGTAAATCTGTTGTGTGCGTGCATGCCTGAGAGTGGGTAAGTATGACCGTTTATGTAGACGAGTGTATGTGTGCGTGCTTGCGTGTGAATGAGCGTGTGGAAGAGTGTGAATGTCTGTGAGTGTAGCAGTTGAGCCTGAGTGTGGGGGTGACGGTGCCCCCAGCTCAGCTTACAACCCGTTGCCCCTTCTCTCCCGCAGGGACCCCTCGCTGCAGGCTCCTTGCTGCTAAGTGGGTTGGGGGTTATCAGGAGGTTTTCAGGTCTGCCTGCTCCCAAGAAGCTGCTAACTATTCAGATTTCCCTAATGCCCTGGGCACGGAGAGTGCCATGGTGTGCTTGCCGCTAGACTGGTTTTACATTTCAGCCGTCTATTTTTACATCTGGGCGAGCCAACCTTCAAAGTTAGACCTCTGTGGAAGCTTCTGTTTTCTTCTAAATCCATTTTGCTAACACTGATGTTGACTTTCTCCTGACAGGGATATCCCAGCCTTCACACCTAATTAGAGATGTGACAAGTTGACTTTCATTTGGCATAATTTGATCCTGAAGGCCCTTTTTCTTCCCTCCGTGAAAGAGATTGAATGGGAAGTGAAAAGGGAAATGAGGCTTCTTACATTAGGATTCTAGAGTTGCAAAAGCAAAATAAAATTACGCAAAGTGAGAAGACATATTAGCCATTGATGTCTACTCAACAGGCACGGGACATTTTTAGCAAGATTTGTTTGTACATGTGAAGGGGATCAAAGGAGGGAGTGAGCTCTCCCACCTGCCGATTCACACTCTACACTGCCTGCTGCGGCCAGGCTTGTGCCAGACGGAAGCCAGGAGGGTCAGCTGTGCCCCATAGTGGCAGGGAACCCAACACTTAGGCTGGCCTCCACTGCCCTCCCAGCGCATTGGCAGGGAGCTGGCTTACAGGTGGAGCATGTGGGACTCCAGCAGCTCCTCCTATGGGGTGCAGACATTGAAGACATTAAGTTAAGCACAGTAGCCCAACCACTTGGAATTGAGAACCCCCATTCACAGTAAACCTTTGCTCTTTGTCTGGGATCAGAATTATTTTGGCTTTTTTTCCCTCTTCTTTTTCCGTGTAAACTGGCCATCTGAATACTTCTTCCCTGGCTGGTTGGGAGGTAATGTGCATGACACACCTGGCCTGATTCCTGGCAGGTGTTGCAGCCCATGGACCTGAGGGTAGGGCTGCTTGAGAGATGTCTTAGTGAAACGAACAGATGAGCAGTGAGCATCAGGGCCATGAAGAGACTGAGGGCAGGAGGGTCTTAGAGAAGTGTCTGCAGTCAAATTGTGTGCAAGTCAGCATATATTATCTTTTTTTTAAAGATTTATTTTTATTTTTAATAGGAAAGTCAGATATACAGAGAGGAGGAGAGACAGAGAGGAAGATCTTCCATCTGCTGGTTCACACCCCAAGTGGCTGCAGTGGCCGGAGCTGTGCCAATCTGAAGCCAGAAGCCAGGAGCCTCTTCCGGGTCTCCCACGTGGGTGCAGGGTCCCAAGGCTTTAGGCTGTCCTTAACTGCTTTCCCAGGCCACAAGCAGGGAGCTGGATGGGAAGCGGAGCTGCCAGGATTAGAACTGGTGCCCATATGGGATTCCGGGGCGTGCAAGGCGAGGACTTCAGCCTCTAGGCCACGTCATCTTTCCTCTTTTCATCCATGTCACCTCATGTTCTAGATCCCTGAAACCTCATTTTGATTTACACTATATGTTGTCCGTCGAACTATGTGGGTGATGTTTAGTTTTACTTTCTAGATATTACACTATAAGTTTGTTACTTCATTTGAATAATTTCACTACTTAGTAGGATTTGATTTAGCATTTTAACAGTGTTTTCTTTCAGGTTCTTGTGGTACTCATGGTTAATTGTAAATAAAGTTATTTGGCTAAAAACTGTGTATGTTTTTGTGTAAGTATTTAGGAGAACCCAGAACTGTGTAAGCGCACCTGCATAATTAAAAGCAATTGATTGAATATATGATGATAGCAGGTATAAAATGCACATAAGATTCTGAAAGGTTTAAAGTGTAGTTTTAAAGACATAGAATCAGGCAGACAAAATAAATTTTCAACTGAGACTAACTACGAAGTTGTATTGGAAAACAGTTATAAAATATTTGTCTGCAGCATGGAAGTCTGTCACAGGCTTGCGGCCTTGCACTTGACCTGCCTGATCTGTCTAGGAGATTATGGCAAGCTCAACAAGATAAGGACTTGAAGGATGCCTAGCCACCCTTGCATAACTCATTGAGCATGCAGTTTTTAACAACTTCATACTTTTTGAGCTATATGGTAATCACCTTATGAGAATACAACCTTTGCTAAATTAATTTTAAATTGTCTAACAATTTTACATTTTATGTATTTATTTTTTAAGATTTATTTTTAATGGGAAAGTCAGATATACAGAGAGGAGGAGAAACAGAGAAGATCTTCTGTCTGCTGGTTCACCCCAAGTGGCCAACCTCAGCCGGAGCTGAGCTGATCCGAAGTCAAGAGCCAGGTGCCTCCTCCAGGTCTCCCATGTGGTTGCAGGGTCCCAAGGCTCTGGGTTGTCCTCGACTGCTTCCCCAGGCCACAAGCAGGGATGAGGATGGGAAGCGGGTCTGCTGGGCTATGAACCTGCGCCCATATGGGATCCTGGCACATGCAAGGCAAGGACTTTAGCTGCTAGGCTACCGCACTGAGCCCTTTGAATTTTTTTTTAAAAAGATCTATTCCTTGATAGCTACCCACTTAATAATGTTTTCCTGTTTCTCATAAATATATGTGTATACATGTACACACATAATATTTTTGGCTTCCCTTGTTTCATATGGATGGTCACATTTTGCGATTCGATTATTAGTTTCTATTTTTGACAAGCCTTTATTTTCTATACTCAAAAAGGAGAGAGAGAGAGAGAGAGAGAGAGAGAGAGAGTTCCATCTTGTGATTTGCTTTCCCGGTGCCTGCTGCTACCCAGGCTGGAACAAGTGGAAGGTAGGAGACCACAGCTGCGTGAGTCTCCCATGTAGGTAGCGAGGGCCAGGCACTGGAGGTTGCATCTGCTGCCTGCCAGTACGCATCGTCAGGAAACCAGATCAGAAGCAGATGGGGGACTCGTACTAAGTGCTCCGATGTAAAATGTGGGTGTCTCAAGCTCCCACTTAACCCACTGCGCTGCAGTGCATCCCACATCTCAGATTCTTGAATTTTCTTTTTGTGCTGTACTGCCTGGCATGGTTCTGCATTATCTGGGATATTAAGCGTGGACATACCTGCATATTACAAAGAATTTGGGGAGGATTGAATTAAAACATGTTTGTTTGGGTGCAAAAAAAAAATTGTGTAGAGTTTTTTAAAAAAGAATAAATTTTTATGACATTTTAGAAGAACTCTCACGTGGATGTGCCAATTTTCGATAATTTTATTAAGAAAGGACGAGTTTGGTCTAGCTGTATAGTTAGTTTGCCAGAACTTGCATAGATCTGTGCAGTATCACCAGATGTCTAGAAGGGCGTGGCTTGCTACCCGTAGGGTGCAGGACTCGACTCCTGTTCACAACCCGTTGGCCCGAACTTAACTGTACTAGTCAACTTCCCAAATGCATGGAGATCTGGGAAATGCCATCCCTTTTTTTTTTTTTTTTGTGGTAGATAATGTACTTTTTCTTAGAACCAACCGTACTACCCTGCCGGTAGCGAGACTCAAATTCCCATGGTTACTTACGTAAAGCACCAAGTGTCACCAAAACAACTGCAAGACTTCTCCCAATGGTTGTTAAGGATGTAGAATAGCCGTGAGAGGAGCATGCAGCTGGAGCAGGTGAGCTGGCTGACAGAGGCCAATGAAGTAGTGTCTGGAGTCAGCTCTGTGTCTCCAGGAGTCACACACAGAGGGCTGTCACTGGTTGGCTGATCTGATTGGCTGACACAGCGGCTAGCAGGTGACCTACCCTGAGCAGACGCTGGGCGGCTGGAGTGCATTTATCAGAGAAGTTGGCACTCCTTGTCTCTGGGGGTGAGAGGACACAGCTTACAGCACAGCTGTCAATGTGTGAGAGGAGCCCCAACCCATAAAGTGTGCTGTGGGTCAGAAGTCACCGTGAGGGCTGCTGGTGCTGCACTGGGGATCTTTGCATGCAGTGGGGAGTTTTGGATCCCAGGTCCGAGGGACCATGTTGCCAAGTTGTTGAAGGGCAGTAGGACTGCCATTTTAGATCTATAAAAGAGGGAGCTGTCCAGTGGCAGATGCAGGTTAATTCTGATTGCTGGCTGAGGGCTCACAATACTGTAGGGTGTTTGGGGACTTCCTGCAGGAACATAGCTCCTCTTTCCTAGGTCTAGTTCTCCATGCAGGGAACAATGCAAACATTCTTTCTCTTCCTCCTTCATTGACATGTGTGTGATCTGGTTTTTGTCATCCACTAGGTCATGCTGCATCTTCTACAGCTGGATTGTTTAAATACAGCTCTAGAGTCTCATGTTGCTGAGTGCCTTTAACTGATGGGCCTGATAACCATGTTTCAGTTACCCGCAGTGTGCATATATCTGCTGTATACCAGAGCCTCGGTGAAATTATTAATACTTCACCATCATGCACAGTTTCCGTGGCAGATAATCGAGAGTCCTGCTTGACCTACAACCTGTTGGTAGTTGAGGATGGTCTTGTTCTTGTGGCTTCGTCCATCAGAAGCTCTGAGCCATGCCTTGCTGTTCCCCGTGTCTTCCCAGGGAGAGTGAATCCTTCTGTACTCTGCTGGTGCTTTGTTGAGACTCAAGACGACTTGTATTTGGCAAAATGATTTCTCTCTCCTTTCCTGGTGTCTGCAGGGGCAGGAGATTCGTGGTATCCTTGCTGATCCTCCTGACACTAAATTTAACTTGCCTAACACAGAGTCTCCAGTTAATCATATGCTTTTGGAATTGCAGAATTTTCTAACTGCAAAATTGGGTCTCACCATTGTATGTCAGCTATCTAGCAAAGTGTGCATTGGAGAAATGTTTGCCAGTAAAGTATTTATTGCCTATGATTTTTCTCCTAAACCTCTTAAAAGTCTGAGAAAAAAATCAGGTCTAACTTTCCTCTAACATAGTTATTGCTTTTTTTTTTTGTCTTTGGATATAAAATTTGTGACAGTCTAATTTAACTATGACTTTCAAGATGTGAACTTTTCTCAGTATGACAATTTAACACCTTTTACTTACTTTGCAAAACCCATTTGACCATGGCAACAACTGCCTGGAGAATCATCCTTGAAATGCATATTATTTTTAAAGATGTTTTCAGCTTTCCTGGAACCACACACATCGATCTGTTTTCTCTTGTGGTTAGTTCCTCTAGGTGAGTAGTTTTGGTCTCAGGTGCAGGAAAAGAGAAGGGACAAAGACCCTTACCAAGATGGTACGTTTTGAGCCAAAGCATTGTGGAAATGGCTTCTTAGAGATGAGCAGAAGTAAGTCTCCCTTGCGTCTACCACTTTCCCCCTCTTTCTGCTCAGACTGCACTGGGCCCCTGGACGCATTTGAACTTGGTATTGCTTCAGGGACATGGACGCCTTGGGGGGAATCCAGGCAGAACCCCAGTCTAATGGGCAATCTGAACAAGTTTGCACCCTATTAAAAATGGGCATGTGGCTTTCACTAGTTTCAGACACTCTCTACCACCCAGAAAAATCCTCTATAGATGAGGTGTTTCAAAATTAAGAAACTTTTCATGCTTTAAGCATTTTCAAGATATAATGTGCTATAATTATAGATTTCTGCTTTTTTTCAGTCAATGTATTTTTTTACCCTTTATCTTTTATGTTTTAGGAGTTTCATAGGCTCAGGGATTTTTCCCTCTTCCCTCCTTACTGCCCCTCCAACCCCCCACCGATATATTATTACAATAACACAGTCCTTCAAAAACAGTCCCGAGTCCATCATTCAGCCATTTGAGTGTATCCTGACATTGCAGGCGAAGACAGAAGTGGCAGAAATTCCAGCATCCAGATGTCAAGATACATCTGGCAGTTTCTTCTGGAGTCTTTCACTCGGGAACAGAGCTGCATCCAGCACTGTATCTTCACTTCCCAGGATGCTAACCTCTGCTGTGCAGTTCCTCTAGATGAATACATCTCCCTGCTCTCTGCTCCTAAGCCAGCACACCACGACATTTCCCTCCAAGTTGTAATGGGCCATTGGTTATCCTCCACTCACGTTCCACTTGGATTTGCCCTCCGAGCAAGGAGTTGCTTGTCATGTTGCTGTCTGAAGGAGGAGCTTTCTCACCGAGGCCTTGCAGTCCTCCTGTCGTGTTCACTGTCCCTCACGTGTTTCTACAGGGTGACACAGACCCTACGCGGTCCCTAGCGGTAACTAGACCAACAAATGGGGCTCATATTGGGTTTGGAATGGGCTGTGCTTCTTTGGGGAAATTAAGATTTTTATTTTACCACCTAGAGTTTGTGATCCAGCATGAAAAATCAAACCACCTTGTAATGGTTACTCGGAGCTAAGTGGTCTTGCAGGCGTGTAAAACTGGATAAACAGCGTTTGATCGATCGGGAACTGATATTTTGAGCGAAATCCTGATTGAATCAGTGTGATGTTGCGGTGCTATCGTAGACCTTAGGCGATCTTAGCTAGACAATTCTACAATGCGTTAAAGGGAAGAAGGGGCTGCAGCAAGGCTGTAGGTACAAGCACGGGAGTGCCATGCTGGCGCGTGGTGCTGCCCCTGGGGCTCCACCTCTCACTGGGAGTGTCAGCTTCTGAACCCCAATGCTTCCCCCTTCATTCTGCCCTCTCAACAGCCTCCTCCTTTTTCCTGATCCAATTCAAACTAAAAACAAATATAGCAGTTAAAAAAGATCATGCAAAGGGGAATTGCAAGAAAAATCATTTTGCTGCAAAAAACCAGAAATCCACATTTTCTTTTTTTTCCCCACAAACCAGTGTAAAGTTTATTTTTTTAATATTGTGTAATAAGATAAAATTATTCTAAGTGAATACATTTTTTATTTAAAGAGTTCCCCATGTTGCAATTCCCTCTGTTGCACATTTTTCAACCTTTTGAAAACTGATGTTTAATCCATGATTGTCTTATCAACCCTCTAAGAGTAACATTAAATAAAGTTTACTTTTCAGAAATGGTCAACAATCACTTGGTTACTAGCAAACTGGGGCAGTGAACATTTCAAACTGTCAAATTTCATTGTTAATGAAACAGCTATTAGGAAAAAATGCATGCAAAAAATGTTCGCAGCAGGCTGCTTGCTAGCAAGGTAGCAGAGAAAAAGTGCATTGGATGATTTTTTTATGGTCAAGTCCACAGCAAAAAGGAAACGACAGTCCAAAAGCCTTGGTAATGACCACACACTTCTTCATCGTATGCATTTCCCCTGATTTTTTTTTGCATACATTTCAGAGCGTTTCTGCACCGAAATGAGCTTTTCAGTTGTCTAATTCAAAGACTCCTGGTATTAGCGTCTGCCTCCACAGACCAGTCCTACGTCACACGGTTTTTGTTGGTTAAAAGGCCCCATACCAGTGTGAATGGGAAGAAGCGAAACCTTAGCTAGCAGCAAGCTTGCCACTCACTGCCGGACCAGCTGCTCTGGTCCACAGCCCGTGGTCACCTCTTTGCACTTAGGACAGAGAAGTGTAAATCAGATTACAAGCTGAGAGCAGCAGGGATGGCCACAAAATGGGGCTTGCTTCTGTGAGGCAGTGTTTTTCAGAAAGGATGACAAATCTTGGTAGCCAGACTTTTCAGAGCATCCCAAGTTTTGCTGCACAGTGTCATGACGCTTGCTGTTGTGCCCACTTGGGTCACCGTGCCTGTCTGTTCTCTGGCTGCTCTGCCTGGCAACTCCTGGCCATCTGCTCCCCCTCCACCCCCCAGCCATAATGATTCTGGGCTATTTTCAAACTGTAAAGCCACAGGGAAGCTATTTTTAAAGGACACACAGGCAGCAGGGTTTCTAATGTGGGTATCAAACATTTTTGAGTAATTATTTTCAGATAATTCATCTTCCCAAAGTTAGAGTTTGGAAGAGAGCAGAGCTCAGCTGTTACCTTTTGTTTTGTTTTGTTTTGTTTTGTCTTAGAATTGTACAAGGATGTTGAAAAGAATTTTTAAGCTTATTATTATTATTTTATGATACAGTTCCATAGATCATGGGATTTCATTTATCCCCTCCCCAATTCCTCCCCCCACCTCCACCTACTGGGTTCCCTATATTCTTACTATAGTTTAGTTCTTCATATACAGTCATACGTCCATCATTGCAAGTATGGACAATGGCAGAGAGTCCAGCATCCTATTGTCAAGATATAGTTAACAGTTTCATTGGGAGTCCATTTTTAGTCTGGAAGTAGAGATGCATATTGCATTGTATCCTCACATCTGGATATGATAGTCTCCATTACACAGTTACTGTACATCACCTTTAATGAAAGGCCACAAAACAAAATCAACAGCAGGAAGAAAAATTGAAATTTGCAGCATGATGAAGTTAAATAATACGCTACTGAATGACTAATGTGTCACTGAAGAAATGAGAACAAAATCAATCTTCTTGAAGCAAATGATGCTTCTGTATGATCTATGAGTCATTGGAGAATTTAATAAGAAAATGTTTTGAAGAGGTGAAACTAACAAAAAAAATCCATGAGATACAGTTGCTGCTGATCTTTGTTGGTGAGATGTGTCTCCTGTAGGCAACAAATAGATGGATTTTGTTTTTTAAATCAGTCTACTAATCCATGACATTTGACTGATGGGTTTAAGCCATTTATATTCAGGGTTAATATGAATGGGTGGTAATTTGGTCTTGTCATTTTAGCAATGGGTTGTTAATTGATTTCGTCTTCTGTTATAAATTTTCTGGGATGTTTTTCACATTTGCCTTTGGTTTTGGTGGGTCTATTCCTCTTCTTTGTCAAGAGAACATCTTTAAGTATCCTTTGTAGAGCAGGTTTGAAAGAGGCATGTTCTTTCAACTTTTCTTTACTGTGGAAAAACTTTATTTCATTTTTAAAGACAGAGGAAAACTTGGCCGGGTATACTATCTTGAGCCAACAAGTCTCTGCTCTTAGAATCTGGAATATGTCACTCCATTCTCTTCTGGCCTGTAGAGTTTCCTGTGAGAGATCTCCTGTGAGTTTAACTGGCATTTGTTTATATGTCCATTGATGTTTTTCACGTGCACATTTCAGGATCTTTTCCTTATGTTCAATTGAAGAGAGCTTGATGATCATGTTTGTGGTGAAGATTGCTTTTGGTCAGGCCTGTTGGGAGTTCTGTGCCCCTTCTGGATGTTGTTTCCCAACTCTTTTTCTAGATTAGGAAAATTTTCCTTATTATTTCATTGAATACATTTGTAAACCCAGCTTCTCTTTCTGAAACTTCCGGGACTCCCATAACTCTTAGGTTTGGCCTTTTAATAGTGTGTTTCAATTCTTGAATACTTTTTTTAGCTTGACCCAGCTTTGCTTCCAGCTTTTTGTTTGTTTCCCCCTGGTGACAGGAAATATCTTCTAATTTTGAGATTCTTTATTTTGCCTCCTTCATTCTATTTTGGAGACTCTCCACTGTACTTTTAATTTGCTCTACTGTATTCTTAATTTCTGATATATAATTTTTTGTTTGATTCATTGCCTGTGTGACATATTCGTTTACGTGCTTCTCGTTGATCAGAAGCTTTATAACAAGTGTTTTGAATTCTGTATCCTCCATTTTCTTGATGTCTTCCTCAGTGAACTCTGAGGTTGGCAAAGGGTTTTGCTCCTTTGCAGGAGAGTCTTCAGTAATATTCATTGTGCATTTGTCTCGTCTTTTGCTCTTAGTCATTATACTTCTGGTTGTCCGAAGTTACTTATTGCAATTGGTACATGGCTCTTTGTTTGTAGTCAGTTGTACCACTCCTTCCAGCAAGTTCCAGGTCTGGGTTCTTATGCTAGATTTCCACCATGGTCTCTATAGCCCCAGCTCCTGGCTTACCACTGTCCACCTCCTGTGATACCGTGCTGAGGTAGCACTGTTGTCTGTACAATTTTTCTCCCACTTTTGGTTGGAGCAGGTCCCAGGATTAGGGAGACACCAGGAGTCCTATTTAGCTGGATTGTTGGTGGTGCTGGTATTCCTGGAACCTGTTAGCTGATAGATCTGAGAGCCACACAGACCTATTTTGACTCATACGATGCCATAGTCAGCAGTATTTTCCTGTTGGTCCAGTGCAATGCACTAAGCTGAGTGAGTTTATTCCCAGCACAGTGTACGTGCAGCTCACTGTTGTCCTTGCATTCTTAAGGTTTTTCCACACTGCACAAAATGGTGCCTGATGTGTCAGTATTAGAGTTATTGAACTGCTAGCCCTTAGGTCTTGGGGCTATTCAGACCTGTCTTGGGTGGAACCTGTAGGATGCCACATTGTTGCAGTTCACTGGACTAGAAATGAGTTCAATTCTAGCTCAGTTCACGCTCAGTCCTTTCCCTTACCTTTGCCTCCTTATGCAAAATGGCGCCCAATTCAGCTCTAGGGGGCTTTCTGGGCTGTGAAATACACCCTGTTCCTGTACCGCCTGTCTGGGATCTACTGCTCTGTCTCTGCTCCTGGTCAAATCAAGCAGACTAGTAGGACGAGCAATTCTTTGTCTGGGTTCACCTCCTGAGCTCCTGGTGAACGTCATTGCCACCTAGTTGCTGGTATCATTTTGGCTGCCATTGCAATTCAGATTGCTGTAAGGTGAATGCTGCTGGATTATCAGTCACTGCAACGCCACACCACTGTGTTTGCTCCTTTTCTGTGTGTTAGTCTCCAGGTTCCTCTCTGTTTCACACTCGGTAATGTTTCTCTGTCTATTTCAATGTGCCCTTACTCTATTCTGCCATCTTGATTCTTTAGATGTTATCTTGCTGGTTCGATGCTGATTAGCTACTAATTCCAAGACACCCAATATCAGATATACATGTTAATTTTCACCCTGGAATGTGCATGTAAAGTGTTGTGCTTGTCGTCTAAGGAAGGAAGCATAAGCTGGTTGAAGGAACCCTCCTGGAGTGTTTCTGCAATGGGAACCCCGCTATAACAATGGCTTCTACATGTGGATATGCACATAGTACATTTTCTTAGTCACAGACCGTATCCATAGCTCATGGGTGACTTGTTCCTTACACTCATTTGAAAGTTTTATCTATGATTAGAGTATTTTTTCTTGTCTCCCATAAACTATAGACATTTTGCAGAATGTCTGTAACCAAAATCATAACCAGCAAGCGAAGAATTTAGATGGGACTTGGCCCATCCTTTCCTCTCTTAAAATGGCAATTCTTGCCCAAGGAAGCTTGTGTCTGAATGCCTATGGATTCCTATCTCTTCATCCCATTTGATGTCACTGTTTTCTAGTTTTTTTCTTGGCTATTACCCAATGGGACTTTGACATACTTCAGAAAAATTAATTTGAAGTTTGTCAAATAATAGCATCCATGCTTTCTCATCTGTTTATTCCTGATTCATCTCATTTCTTAAGAGAAATATAAGAAGAGATTGGGGCTTGCCTGAAAATGTTTTCTCTCCTTCAAAATGAGAGAGCAGAAAAGGATGAAGGTAAAGAAGGTAAAGGAAGTTTCAAAGGTTATTTGTAATTCCTGTGGCTTATGCTGTTGCCCCTAGGGACATGAGTTTTATATTTTCTGGGGTTTTTTTTTTTGTTTGATTTTGCCAAGTCATTTGTTGTTTTTTCTCCCCTAAGGAGCTCTTTACATTTTATGGTGTAGTTCCTGTCATGAAATATTTTTAGTTTGGATGTACTTTTAATATCTTGATCTTCTACTTTGAGAATGGGGTATTAAGGAGTTGGTGATTATGAATTTTTGAGAAACATGGGACTAAATCAGTCCCATATTTGGGATGACAAGGTTGCTTGGAGCTCAGTCTATCCCACAGATTACAGATTCCCAGGCATTTAGTGGGGGAGGTGGTGTTTCCCAAATCTATATGACCGTAGGACCTCTATTTGTTTTCCTTGGCACTGATGTTTTGGAATGCATTTTAGAAAATTCTGGACTTGGGAATTATAGAGCTAACTGTGGCCCAAGGAAGAATTTATTTGGGTAGAAAAAAGCCTTTTGGAAGACATGAGCATGGAATCGTCCTGCTAGATGATCTGTGTGGACACTAACACAGTTAGAGGGGTGGCTTCCATTTGCACTCTTGTTTGTTTGAAAACATCAAGGCAGTCCAAAGGAGACAAGCAGTCTTAGCGAGTAGCTGTCCCAACAGCTGTGCAGTCCCTGATGCCAGCCCGGCTCTCCACGTTTCCATGTTTTGCATCATGGACAAAACCCAAGCATCCAAGGTCCTGTGCTTCC